TTTTAAAGGGATTTAATTTTGAAATTATAGATCATATGTGTTTGATATTTTCTGGTTCTGTTCTAGAGGTGTCCCTCTGTCGCCCAGAAGTGGTAGCAGTCTTTGGAAACAGAGAGTTTCTCAGCAATGGGCACGGCAACTTAGGGGGAAAAGATAAAAATGACTATATATATATATATATATATATATATATATATAGAATTAGTTTTGTTTTAGTTTCTCAGCATATATTATTTTCTGTTTGCAAATGATGCGGCTGGATTTGAGTAGCTCAAACATGGACCGGATGTGCGCTTTTATTGTGAAAAAAAAGCAGCACGTAAATGGGTGTACCATAATGTCTTGAGCGACCGCGCACTTGTATATTGTGTGCTGGGCCGGCTGGAGTCAGAGCCGGCTAGCTTTACCGCAGTGAACAACCTAGATGTGAATCATGATCAGAGAATCCGGCGGTACACAGTGAAAAATCAATATGAGGGCAAATAAGGTGAAACAAATGATGATTAAGCAGTGCAGAACGTGAATGGCATGATGAGTGAAGATTACTGGTGGTGAGCATCAATACAAACGATAAAATAAAAGCAACAGGAAAGAAACTAAAGAGAACATAACATTAAACCAAGAGAGGATAAAACTAATCAAAGGAAAAGAAATGGAAATGAATGAAGAACAAAATGCAAGAATAAACTAAGACGTGTATGGACGCCATTTTGGGTTTTCAGTTGAAGAAGCAAGCATCCTTGGCGTCCCTGTACCTTTCATCCCCAACACCCTGATTGCCATTGCTGAGGGACACACTTTTCGGAAGAGCCTGTGCCAAGGTGAAGTAGACCCAGGGTTTAACTGGATTGGCCAAAGTCTGTTGTATTCCAATCTAACCTGTAAAGTTCCTGAGGAGCTGTGGCAGAAGTGTGGAAAAGGGTACCATCGACATGAATATCGATGGTACGAGACCCTTGGTTCGAAGTAGCAGAGGAAGTTGCTGATGTGGTGGGAGGAGGCTTTGCCATTGTAGAACACCTTGGATGTTCTTTGGCCATATTTGCTGGGAGCCCTCGGCCTGATCATTGCCCTAGTAGTGGGAAAAACCATGTTGGAGGTGTGGCTCAAATCGTTGTGCTTCTGTAAGGAGAAGTCCTATGAGCTCCTCCCCCAGAAGGAGGAGCCCAATGCTGCATAAAAGAAAGCCCCAGGGTGCAGCGGAGCCATTCGTCACTCCTGCTGGAAACGTGAGGACCTCCTTCAGCTGTGACCATCACCTGACAACATGACATCCAATTCATGAAATTCCACCATCCTCTTCCAGCCCCTTCAAGTGAGTACCGTAGAGTTCATTGGCATACTCTGTGCGTGGCTGGTCTTCTGCCATACCGGCTCCTGGTCTGCCCAACAACCCCTAAGATTTCTAGTGGTGCTGGAAGGCTACGCAAAGATCATCCTATGACCCATTTTCTTCGGGAGGTGGGATACGGCTACTTCCCATTTCACTTCCTACCTGATGGGACGCACCAAGATCAACTGACGTAGAGGCTCCGTTGTGACGCTATGGCTTACCCTGGATTCGACTGCCTTATTTGTTGAGCTGGTGTGCTGTGGGGTACATGTGACACGTACCGGCCCTGTCAAGATTACAACGGTGATGGTGGAGGTGTTTCTGGTCATAGCCATTATAGCGTACCTCTCCAGCCAGGCTTTGTCTATCACAGGGCAAAGTAGGTCCCGCTGGATTTGAAGATGTGCTGTCCTGACCACGTGGGCAATCGGATGGGGTGTGTTGGTGGTCTTCGATTGGGTCAAAGCCACTACTGCCTTGCCAATCATTGTATGGCTCATGACCTACGCCGCCATATTCGTAGACACTGTCAAACCACAAATTCAGGAGGAAGCTCCCCCAATTTATGTTAACCTCCCCCTTGGCTCTTCGCCTCCATTGGTCACACAGGTTTAGTCAGCACATCGCTTACACCACTTCCCTCATCCCTGCTTGATTGTTTTGATGAGTTGTTAATCAGTAACATTTAATCATTAAGTTACCTAGATTACTGTTTCTCCTCAGGCACCGATCTGCTGTGTGGGGTGTGGAGTTACCGCAGAATCCTCTGGATTCCTTTGGGTTGCATCGTCTACCCGCTGGTACCACAACTGTGTACCCAGTAATTTTGATGGTATAAACGGCGAGGAAGACCTGCCACTTGTTGCGGTCTCCACATCTAGATCCGTGGTGAGGGAGCACGTGGTCATGTGGACCTCTGCATTTGGGAAAAGTGATGACGTCCTTCAAGTGTCCCAAGGGAGTTATGGGCTGATGCTTCCCGTCTACCAGCAGATATAGGAACATCATACAACCTGAAATTGCCTTCCTACTCTGCATCTCCTGGATGGCAAGATCATGGCTGTGGGTGCCTATGTTTGCCTGTTTGCCCTGCCTCACCGGATTTATTAATTGACGTTGCTGCCAAACCTGCATAGCGACTCAAGATGGATGTACCCAAACTGAGATTCTCAGTTCACCTCATCACCCCTGCCAGACTGTCGGGAACAATCCGACACAACCCACGTCACCTACAGTGCTGCATGGACCTGTCCACATGGGTGTCGACCGTGGCTACCAAACGGCACTGATCGACATTGAGGAGGATTTTCAGGACTTCCTTTGACTGGACTTTGTGTTTTCTCTAATGCTTTATTCGATCTCAAGGAGGGGGTGTCGGGAAACCTGGTTGGGACTGATTGAGATCTTTCCAGGACACACAAAAAACAGGTCACAGAAACCTAGAGGCAACAAGTAATCTTGTATTCTGATTTAATGTTGATTGAAAATTATGTAATCTTTGTTTTAAATCCGCTATGAATTAATGTTGATTATGACTTATGTGATTTTGGTTTGAAAGTCATAAGGAATCTTGACCTAAGAATGGGAAAAATCATAAATGGATAAAAGTAATGACTACAAGTTAAATGTAAAAGTCTCATACTGCGTCACAAATAGAGGCCGAATAGGAGGAAGAACTGTGGTCACGAAAGAAACAGGAAATCCTATGAAAAATATGGGCGATGGCTGCAGATGAACAAAAGTTCGAGTGCTGATAAGAACATCAGCAAGGGTATTTCAAGAAAAAGGAAGTTCAAGAGTCTAGGGAATTAAAGGTGAGCAATTAACCGTAGGCGCCTGACGTCAAGGGAAGAGTGGTAGTTGCTCAGAGAAGGTTGTGTAAGCAGGTGATACATGCACACCCAAAACATAGATGGTATAAAGATAATGAGAAAAAAGAACCAGGCGTTCTTTTTTCCGTAGTGTTCGAGTCAAGACCACACGAAGACGCAGGATCGACAGAGAGCTATGCTTTGATACCCCGCGGAGGTGCAGACATCGCACTGCTCGAGAAGGGAACAGGATCCGTTTACCCACAGCCTGGGTTTCTGATTTGACAACTGCCCTACGCTCAACCCAAAAGATCTCAACTATACTGCAGTGGACATGGGGGATAGACAAAGATCATAGAATGATAAGGAACTGAGTTCACGGAGGACACTCACCAGTTCAACTTTGGATCTATTCTGAAAAGGATTCTGCCTTGCCAAGACAGGACTCTAACCATGGATATTAAAGTTTTCCGCTGCCAAGATCAACTCAACGTCTGGGGACGAGTGGAACTGCATCCCAAAGCCTCACTTATTTAGTTCGATGACACAGTATAGGGACTGGAGGGAGGTGTGATTTCTAAATTTCTTATATATTAATCTCTTGATTTGTTGATTGAAGAAGCTGTTTGTCATTTTTCCTCTGCTAAAGCTTGCTAATAAAATATTAAAGTCTGATTGATGCTGTGGACAGTTAAATTAATTGAGTCAATTGAGAGTTAATTCTTCTGATTAAGGTAAAATCAATGGTCATGATCCTAGTAACTATGGGACTTCAGACGTTTCTTTGGTGTTTGTAAAATAATGACCTTGGGACTCGTGCCGAGTCTCTAAAACTTATCTAGACTATAACAAGTGCATGTTATTGATAGAGAAAGAGCTACCGTTAACAAGAGTGGTTTCTGAAACCAGGCAGCTGCAGGCTACTCGGATGATTGTTTCATTAACTGTAGCGGGTCATAACTTCTGGATCTGAAGGTAGTTAGAGTCTAGATGCATCTTTCTTGCTCCCAGCTTAAACAGAATGTCCTCTACAATCTCATCTGGAGTAATACTCGGGAGTTAGAGGCTTTCTGGACCCGTTAGGTGGAGAGCTGGTCAGTAGTCAATCTGCTGGGGTCTGTGAGGAGGTTTGGGTGTGGCTTACTATTGCGTAATAACACAGGCGATAACAATAAGGAATTTATCACTTATTTATGTTTTTGATTAGATTTGATATATTTATTTCTTCAATATTATTTTTTCATGTCAATGTTAATGTCATGAGGCTGATGACTCCATGACACTTTCAGTCTGATTCATTAGGATTTGATTAAGAACCAGCTTTTGTTCTTATCCTACATCTTCTCTGATGGGGGGCGGTGAAGGATCTGGATAATGGATAGGGGGGCACTGGCCCTAAAAAGGTTGAGAAACGCTGTCCTACACTTTGGACTGAACAATTTAGAACAATTTCTAACAATAGTGGGGGACCTGAAAATTAATTCTTATTTTTTTCTTAGATGAATGGCAGATTTACTTCGTTCTTTGGTTCTATTGCCTTTTTTATATTGGTATTGTTTAAAAACAAGGGTTTCTTTCATGATTTCTTTGAAGGGGGCGGGGAGGGGTGGACAATTCTAGACTTTTCCAAGACCCCCCTGGGATTTACAGTATGTTGTATTTTTTTTCAATGCAATGTATTTGTACTTATCTTTTTATTAGCACATGTTTTAATATTTTCAATGGTGCTAATTCAGTTAATGGTGCTGCTATCAATGTAAAGTGCTTTTGTAGACAGCAAGAAATGCTTTAGAACTTTCTGTCATGCTGGATTTGAGTTTCTTGACCCACATGCAAGTTTGCACAAAACCAGAGAAAACTGTTCAGTAAAAGTTTAATGTATTTCCAAAAGTACAATCTGATTGTGGTCCAGGAAACGGGATTGGCAGATCAGCTCGGGTTCTGTTCGGAGAAGGGAAATATTAGTAGGGACCGGATTTTGAGAGATCTTGATTGGTTTTGAGGGATAAGCTTACTGTCTTACGGATGGTGGTTGCGCGGAGGGAAAGGCTAGGATCCAGGAGCGTACAGAAGACCGACGATGGAGTGGGGAGGAGAGCGGCAGGCGGAGATGTTTGATCTTGGCAGGGAACGATTTCCCAGTCCCGACTTGGTTCCTGGCTTGAATCCAACAGTTGATCGGTTTCTGAGGGAAGACAAAAGGTTACTTGAAGTCTCTTAAAAAATCCATAACGTCATTTTTGGGTTAGACTCTGACCAACAAGTGGGACCATCGAGCGATGAGTGACTGCTCCACTGCTTCTTAAAAGTCCAATCACTCAGAATCAGCTGCCGGTGCGCCAGCCTGTCAGAACTCTCCCCTGAAGATCCTCTGTAGGAAAGAGCACTCACACTAACCCGAATCCTAACACTTTCTTGCTGTTTTGAGTAGACCAGAGCTAATGTGTGCTTCCAATCCACATTCTGATGTTAGATCATTATAGTGTTTTGGTTGAACTTCATTAGCATTTTAAGATTGAAATATATGTTTAGTACTACCACATATAAGACAATTTAAGTTTTATTGATATGTTGGTGATATTAAACTGTGATAACTTGAGTAACACTGTTGCATAATATGGGAAAACTTAAGAGATGACTAAAGATCCCTTTAAATTTTAGCCTTAAAGTGATGGATATTAGCATCCTGTATTTTAAGCTGCTTTATTCTGGCCTTGTTTCAGCTTTTTTGTTGTGGTTGTTAGGTTCTGGGGTTTTTGGGGTTTTCTTGGGGTTGCTGCTTGGTCCTTTTATTCACCACTAGATGGAGTCCTGGAGGCGGCAGGCCAGAGTGCTCCTCCATAGACATAATATAAGAGTAGACCCCGCATTGGCTACTCCGACGCAGGAAATACGGCTGCCATCTTGGAGCGGTCGTCCCTCCTACTTTGCTCAAGCAAAACAGCAGACAATGCCTCAGCACTGAGGGATATTGTTGTTCGGATCGACGGATTATTGATGCGAGGGCTCCACAGACAACCTTTCACAAGTATGATGGACATATTATTGTGTATATTTTGTGATCAGAATATTACTTTACTGTATTTATGTCCACCGGTGAGATACCAGCTAATATTAGCTGCAGTGCTTGGTGTAATACCAGGGTTCAACCCCGCTACAAAGGCTAACCGGGATTCCATAAATCTTAAATAAAAAGTAATTCTCTAACATTGAATTAGATTATCTGGCACAAGTGCCTACCTTAGAAATTAAACAATGTAACATATATTATAAAACTTATTATGTTGTAACATTCACCAGCAAAATTTACACAGGTGGTAAAGACTATTATTTATATGTAATTCTTTCACTCTGTCAAAGTAAGATACATCCCAAATCTTCCGTTTTTGTTTTGAAGGTTTCATAAAGTGAGGAAGAAGTGGGGGATATCTTTAAAGAGAGACGGATTCACTGCAGCACGGATGAATCTCGCATCGGATTTTGGACTCAATCTCAGCTGCTGAATCACTCTGAAGCTAGAACTCGTCGGCTGAAAAACATATACATATATCTATATATATATGCATGTATATACATACATATAAACATGTATCCAATATATATTATTCAGTATTAATAATTATTTATTTGTGTAATTATTAATCATTATTTATTTGTGTCATTGTTAATCATTATTTATTTGTGTC